AGAAAGAAAAAAAAGAAAGAAAAAAAGAGAGGTGGTATTGAATTCCGGAAAAAGACATTCATCCGTAGAATATGTTGATGTTGAGGACAAATAGCAGCAGACGATGAAAGAGTGTGCGAGGAGGTTAAATGTTTGTGGTGGTTTTGTTTTTTGGTCTTTGTGGTTGATACATGAATTTTGTGCTTTGTTGCTGTTCAATTTTATGGGACCTCATCCACGTCCAAGTCACGGTTACTATCACATATATAAGCTAGGGTGGGATGTCTTTATAAAACTACCCTTACGGGCTTCTCCATATTATTTTGTCCCGCATTTGGCATATATATCTAATTGCATTCTCCGACCATCAGTTTGTAGGGTTAGGGGTATACTTGCAGGTGAAGGAAGTTGAAGGTCTATGCAAAACTTCTAAGCATGTGTAAGGTTTTTGAATTTTTTGATGTGAAGTTGCACGCTCAACACATTATATCACGTGTGACATTATTAACGCAGAAACAACACATATAGGTGATGTGGAACACATGAACCATATGTCTCAACACGTAAGTTACATACTTTGTTACCATGAAATAATTTGAGATTCTATTATAAAACAAACTGGCAATATGACGAATAATACTAGTCCAACTTGTTATTAGTTCATACAAAATCTCTTAAGTGAAGGCTTGAGTTATATCAGTAATTTTCAGGTGCCCACTATTTTCCTACCATGGTGAAGGCTTTTGTAGTTTGTTATTTGCTTACTAAAGAAAGTTAAAAGGCACCAACTTTGATACAAAAATTTATACTTGCAAGAAGGGCAGAGTGGTGCTAATTTCCTACTTGGGAAAAAGGAAGGATGTATTAAGGTTGTTTTGTGTTGCTTGCTACATTTTACCTAACGTTAGGAAGCACTTCTAAATCCCACCTTTATTAAAGTAATTTCTTATTTAAGAATGAGCGATGGGGTACTAATTAAATTCTATTTCCAGAAAGACTTTGTGGGAGTACAAAAGACTTCTAGTGAGATCTTTATTTACAGATATTTTTCCACATAAAGTTGCTAGTTATTAGTCCAAGGGAGTTTTAACGAAAAACTCGCGGTACTATTCACTTTAACGAAAAATCACATTTTTACACTAAAAGTCAAACATGATACTATTCACTTTATCATTTATTTTGTCTTTATCGTTAAAACTCAAAGGTTTGTTGGTTTGGCACTCAAAACTTCTTTATTTGGTTCAACAACTTATTCACTTTAATTTCATTCTAGCTAGTTGATACGTTACTTTTTTTTTAAATACAAATATATAATTTATGTTAAGGCGGTGGGGGACTGACTTAAGCTACACAATGAGTCAGCTATAATAAGTGGTATCAGTCTTGTCATTCACAAAAATTTAACATAAAACCTTTTACATAAAGTGAAGAAGAATACCACTATACCGTATTACTAAGTAGTAATTTACTCCTTCATTGTCATGTACATAAAATACCCTATATTATTCCTCTCAAAAAATAAAATCTAAACTTTTGCCTTCCTCTCTCCTACCTACAACTTTAGTGGTAAGAACATTGACTAAAACCCTAGCAATTCTGACGATGGTATATGAATTGCATGGACGCCAAACCATAGTCTAGAACATTCACGCAATTGCGTTGCACCAAATGTATGAAATCCAAGAGTTAGATAAGTTGTTTCTCCATCAGTTAAGACACATCACAAGTCATCTCCGTACAAAACTTGCCCTTAAATTTCATCACGCACACTTGCTTGAACCATGACAAGTGCTCGCAACAATTTGTCATATCGTATGAGAGGGACAAGTGCTCGCAACAATTTGTCATATGGTATGAGAGGTTTCTCGAGTCGAATACAGAAGAACCCCACAACATATCGACCCACCGACCATATATTTTTAAAAAGATAGCTTCAAAATCCCATAATTTTAATTTTGGTGACTTGTGTACCAACTGTTGATACAGCATGCTAACAATAATGTTCAATGGATCCATCCATCCATTTTCCCATGGGGATTTTTAGTAGTCGGTCCAATTATTCTGATATCAGGTAGTCCATGAGTATAGAACATCAACTGCTCTTCTGAAAGTGGGTTTTGGGGACATGAAAGGCATGCAACATGCATTCATCGAGGGAAAAGGCAACACCATATGGTTTTGTTGCTAGATTTTGAAGATTTTCGGGAAAATGATGCTACATGGGATAATATTATTTGGAAATTTCAACGGATATATCATTTAGGTGTACAAAGTCAAGAAAACAATAATACCAGTTGGTTTTAGGACAATTTTGAAGCATGGGGGATTGATCATGATGGTTATGGTTACACTATTCATTAAATACTTATCTTGATACTTTTGATATACGACGAAAAAAATGATTTGAATATACTTTGCATGGATTATCCTGTTTTATTAAATTTGTCTACCGAAGTTGTATTAGTACATTGCATAGATTATCCTGTTTTTTATATTAAAAATGTGTTTGAGTAATTCTTCAGCTCCTAATAAACGGATCTTGAAGATCATGATGTCCCTTTTACATCGCGAATGATCGTGAGATCAAAATATGGACCATATGAAGATGAATATATATGAATAGTTCTGGTTCACGTAACACCGGTCCATGCCAACCAAATATAAACTAAACGTGGACCACTTCTATATAAACACTTCTATATAAAGATGAACATACATGAATAGTTCTGGTTCACATAACGAACCAAATATAAGTTGAACGTGGACCACTTTAAATTAGGCGTATATTGTAGCAGCTAAGCACCACCTCCCCCCTAATCCTTTGAGTAGCGATTGAACGGGACCGTTATCAAAGGATGCCAAATCTGACACCGAGTTATTTTTAATTTATTTAATAAAACAAATATATAGGAGCATGACTCCATGGACCACCCCATGGGCAACCCAACATTTTCACTCCCAGTTCAGAAGTATTCGGAGTAGGCCTTTAGCCTGCCATTGTCTAGCTCTCTGGCTATGGGCCTACCCACACTTCTGCAACAACCAATCAAATACTACCTTCTCTCTTTAGGGCAAAGGACATTTTGGAGGAGGGAAAATTTTAACTGGATTCTCGATGGCAAGGGTAAACGCTTTTAGTTACCCGTGGACACTTGAAATAAAAAATTGAAACGGAATGGACTAAATTAGACCGCACTAATAGGAACTGAACAACAAACTAAATGATTTCATTTCCTAATTTTTGAAACCGAACTGAAAACGAGCTAAGATGCTTAATATAATTTTTTTTAAATTTAATAGCTAATTAGGTATCGGGGGTAATTGGTTATTTGGTTGAGTATATACATTTAGCGTTGACTCAACCATATCACAACATGCCTAGACTATTGAAGAGTTGATGATTAGGGATGGACAAATACCCATCGGTTATGGGTAATCGCGGTTACCCGCCCATTTAAATTTCACGGTTACGGTTATGGGTAACCGTTTAGATAAATAAATGGTTATGGTTATAACCGTTTACCCGTGAAATTTAAATGAGTGGTTATGGGTATTAACCGCGGTTATAAACGGATAACTATTTACCCATTTATTTTATATATGTAAAATTAACATAAACCATGTTCCTATCGGACAAAACTTAGATCAATGCTATTGACTATAGTGCATGATTTCTATAGCTAATATAATATAGTTTTCCTTAACCACTTTAAATTTCGTGGTCCATTATATATATTATGTTAATATTTTGCATTCTGAGTTAAATAACCCAAGAATACTGTCTTTTAACAGTTTTCGTAACCCAAGAATACTTAGCAAATTTTATATTACCTTCATTATTAACAGTTAAAAATATCTTCTGTAAACTATTATTTCAATTATTTGAATGGTATAAGGACATAAAAAATTAAAATGCAGAAATGTATGATGAATGTACTTATAACGGTGTTTAATTGTTAGAAAAAGAAAATTATGACAAATATTTCTTTTTTAATTTTCAAGTTGTTAAAAAAACACGTAGACGGGTGAAAATGAGGAAATGGTAAAAAAGAAAGGATAAACAGGTATAAAAATGATAAATGGGTAAACGGCTACTAAACAGTTACAATTAAATGGGTACACGGTTATGGATATGGTTAACCATTTATAAACAATTATGGGTATGAGTATAATCGTTTAGACAATTACCCAATGGGTAAACGGTTATACGGGTATGAGAATAAACGGTTATGAATAAATAACCGCGGTATGAGAATAAACGGTTATGAATAAATAACCGCGGTTACCTGCCCGCCATAACCATTGCCTATCCCTATTGATAATACCAATTCGAGTCTCGACAACACACATGCATCTCCTCCTCTCTCACATCCTCTACTTTTCGTCTCTTTCATTCTTTCATTCTGCCCTATCGTATAGTCACACTGCAAATCATGAATTTATTTTTATAAAATTGATTTGTATTAATGCTATAAAGCATTTAGTTTGCAAATGACTAAATTTTGGACTATGGAATTTGTTTAAATGTTGAATACTTTTATTGATACCAATTTTTTAACAGGCCCATAATTTAGGCCCAACCTAAAAAACAAAACCATTTGAAACCAAACTGGACCAAAACCAAATGGTTCTATTCTGATTCACATTGCGAAATAAATTTGAATCCCATTTTCAGTTTTACCCCAAAACCACACCGTATCAAACCATACTAATTATGGTTCACTTGTAGTTCGTAATTCCATTTGATTTAGGAGTCGTTTTTATGTCCATTTGATACATCTCCAGGATTTATTAGCATTTTTACAAAGGATTGTTTCCGAAAATATTTTTACCAAAAATGTCAGTCATTTTTAAAGTACGTACAAACTAACTCTTAAGTCAATCTCATGGTTACAATTTGAAAAGGAGTGAAAATAAATTCACGTTCAAGTGTTGTTAATTATTTTTTGGTCGAGTATAAACCAAAGCCCAGAAGAAAGCAAACCAGTTATAAGCACAATATTTATGCTCAAATCCAAGTCTTCTTCCAATGTGGCCCAATGGGCCCTGCCTTTGCAGTTCGGCCTATACCCAAAAACCCTAAATTAGGAGCACTTTCAATTTATGTTTCATGCTCACCTTTCCAACAATTTACCATTCCAACAAAAATAAAAGGAAGAAATAATCAATATTACCCATTTAATACTCGTGTTTTTGTTAATTGTATTTAAGAAACTATTTAATCCAGATTTGAGCTTCAATAATCACAAAGAAAACAGAGAGAAACCCAAATTCCAGAAACAATTTCAAGCTAATATAGCCTATAAGTTCAATTTAAACCATACAAAAACATGGAATAAAAAAGTAACAAACGAATCAAAACCCAGGAACCTTAATTACGAGAGAGGGTTAATAAAAGAAAAGAAAGGAATATGGGGAAGATGATTGTTGAAATTTCAACAGGCGGATGAAGAACAACTGCCCACCTTCCCCTTTTGGTTTGATGTTGCAGGGAACTCTTTCGGATCAGAGTGCATTGATTCTAGCACTACGCCGATACACACAATCCCTGCTTGCTTTTTATATCATATTTACCCATCAAACTCAAACAAAAATATATTTATAAAAACAAATCACAGAGGATTTTGCAGGCTTACACGGAGAGAGGGGAAGGAGGACGATGAGAGACAGGGAGTGTGCGGTCTGTATATATAGGCTCTGAAATACAGAGCAAATCACATTAGGGTTTTGTGGCCCATGTTTGATTTACCAAAATATCCCTTCAAATCCATTCTGTGGGCTTTCATTTTCAGTTACCCTAAGTCCAGCCCAGTTTTCCCAATGAATTCTTACTGTTTATTCCACGAGGACCAATACTTAACTACGTTCTTATATGTAAAGAAGTCATTTCTTGTTATATAAAGATATACGACATCATTTCACTGCACAAACGTCACAATTGAAATTGATTGTTCTCTTTATCATCCTCTTAAGGTTGTTTACGATATGAAGATCATTATATATGGTAACAAATAACATCTTCATGATGAAATGTCAATTTGTTTAATTTATGTAAGGAATTAAGCAATGTCTGTCGAGAAAGATCAATACCTCTTATCTTGAAATGATATTTTTTTTTAAGGAAATTCATAGCTTTTTATCAAAACTTTATGCGTGCAGATAACTTTCATCTTTATGTTTTAGTAAGTTATACAAGTTCTATTGCAAATGGTGTTTTATCGCTGTAATAGAAAATAATCATGTTCATGCACTCTACTAATTTGAGTAGTAGAAGGTTAATTATACTTCTACTCTGGCAATTTGGGGCTGTAACGATTTGGTTTATTCTTTATATCCCACTTAATTATCTAGTTAACTCTTTTTTTTTTTTTTTTATCTCACTCCGTGAACTCATTGGTGACATGTGAATTCAAGATGGACCTAAATACGATCAGTATTCTTGCTTGATAAGCCATACACATGCAATGGCAAGATCTCGAGCGGACGTAGACGTCGGAGAAGAGCTTCTCCAATCCCTGCGCCGTCGAAAGTTGTTCTGACATAGAAAGATAACCAGGTTGATGGCAAGCGGCGCTGTTGTTTGGGCGAAGTCTTCAGAGACCGATCCTAAAGCAGTGGGGCTAGATTGAACTCAGAGGAGTAGTTTGAAAACAGCCTTACCAAGCACTGATTTCGATTTTTTTTGTTCTCGGAGTCTACAAACTTGGATTCAAGAGCAAACTACGACAATACACAACGTCAATGCATGACCGATCTGGTAAATAGTAGAAGATCCAAAATAAAGCTGTAATGTTGGCAGACGAAGACATGTTTTACTCGAAGAACAAGAGGTTTGTACCAAAACAATTAGTAACTGATTGCACAGCCATACCCCATTTGATCGAAGAGAAATGAGATGTACACATCGCACGCAACACCTTCTCACTATAAAAGGGGTTCGTCTGCATCATTAAAACCAAAAGGGTAAGCTTATTAGTAAATTCACAAGCTCAATTATTCCATGCTATAGTATGATAAAAATTGCAGTGGATCAGATGAATGGTTCCTACCGTCACCGTCATCTTCCATATTATAATCATCTTCATCATCATCAACATCAAAACCCTGCAAGACCATAGCTTGATCAGAAACATTTTGTTTTCCCACACATGGTCCTAATCCTACTAGAAACAAGAAAATAATAAGAACGGAAACAAATTATACATGAAACTAAATTAAAATAGCCCTTATCCATTCTGTACCAACATGCCTCCTATTTCTGAACAAGTGAGGAATCAGGTAGCAAATATAAGCAATGAAAATCGCAACGGTGAACATAAACAATGTACAACGAATGACCATTTTGAAGTGATTTGTATAGATGATTTAAAAATCTAATAAACATATAAGACCCAATATTTCTTTTACGAACCTTATAATAATCATCATCACTAAAGTCCTCCTCCTCTTGTTCCTCCTCCTCTTCATTTTCATCTTCATCCTCACCTTCACCTTCTTTCTTTTCTTTTGTATCATTTTGGCCCTACAAAGGAGAAACGTTATCGGCAAAGAAAGTTAATGCGTACAAAAATTAAACTACCAATGACAAGAAAAATCTTTAGAACACAAATAATAGATTCTTTTCATAAACAAATGTTGATACAGTGATCTTTGACCCAAAGTATTGCAGTTAGAGAGACTAAAGACTTTCTCATACCTGACGCTGCTCGAGCTTTTCAAATAAATCCAACTTCTCCAGCCCTGTTAGAGTGACATTTTTAATCAGTTATGTTCAAAATTCCTAAAGAACAGAGAAAAACACAAAAACATATGATAGAAGACAGCACAAAAAGGAAAGCATCTAATCTTATAAGACCTGAGTTAGGATTCCATCGAACTCTCTTTCGACCTGGCTGCTGCACCCTTGAACCTGATACACCATTGCATCAGCATGCATGTAAAAAGCATGAAGACAACATAAAACAAAATATAGCATTCTGAATACTATTCCAATTTTTTTTAATATGGCTATTTAGAGTAGAGACCTCCGGTCAGTTCTTGAGGAAATCCCTTGAGCTCCAATATACTAAAAAGAGAACCGCGTCTTATCGTGGTTTTTGGCTTTGTTCTGTCAGAATATCTTTCTACATCTTCGTTTTGCCTCTCTGCAACATGTTCAAGAAGTATATTATTATAGAACATAACCTGCTATGATTACAAAAGAAGCCAAAAAATGATTAAGAATCAAATCAGAAGTAATACGGTATTCGAATAAAATGCCAGTACGGACCTATATTTTTAATGAACTGACAGGTTGTAACTTGTAAGCATAAAGAAAAGTATTAAGCATTCACATGTCGGATATAATGCAACTATAGCAAAAATCAGCTTAAAACATATATTGTGAACACGAAATAGGAGCAGTGCCGTGTGCAACAAATATCCTTTTGAGAACAACGAATGTTACAAATTATTGTGAATTATGAATCTTCTTTGATTAAACATTTGATGATTGTGTGCCACTTTTCATAATGGCCACAAACAGAAGAAAATGTGTTGTTTTTGGAAGGGATGTGTGAACTTCTCGTTACATCTTACTATAAAATCTTGATGAGATCAGTTTCACATTCATTATAAATATGTATTCATCTCCAACCATATCCATATTGTTGACTATTTTTTAAGATCAAAGCTTTCCAACACATCTGTGCGAATTGCTTCGGAGTTGCGTATACAGAAGTTTACCCATACACACCATCTAAACATCTCTACAGCGTTGCTAATCTATTTAACGAGTTGAAAACATACCAGAACAACGAAAATGCACTCCGCAACATCAAAAGAATGACCATGATCCATATCTTATCGAGAAAAAGAAAGGGAGATACACATGCTTCATAGATTGCTTATTCCACTACCATGAGGACTGATAAATGAAAAATAATAATGAAGTATAAAGAACATCATGCTAACCATTCGAAGTGCTTTGCTCAAGATAATAAGGAGACTCTTTCCAAATTTTTTGGAACTTGCGAGTTTGATTGATTAAGTTTTCTTCCTCAATAACAGCGTCTGTTTTTTGCTGTAGATCAGATATACCTTTGGGAATAGGCAAATCAATGTCCTGCAAAGAAAAGCTTCGACGTTAAATATGAAAAGCCTCTAATTCAGGGAAACCTAGCAAACTGCCAAACATATGCAAAAACTGCAGTAACAAAAGCTCACAGGAAAAAGCACAAAGGGCTCTTGCTTAGCAAAGCCAAAACCGCCACCACCCGAAAATCCACCGCGACCACGCCCTCTGTATGCCATTGAACTTCACATACAAATGCAACAAGGAATTACTCAATAGACATTAATGCAAAAAATAAAATAAAAATAAAAAAAGCAAAATTCGGCAAAATAATATTACCCAATTTCTGCAGAAGCAGTGACTACTGAGAAGGGATAAGTTCGACTCTACCGCGGGAGACAAGATTTATGTTGAAGACAGAAGGGAAAAAGGATGGAGCAGATAACTATTGAGAGTGCGATATGGGTTTGATTCACTCTCCTTTGATTTGATTTGGGAGCTGCGCAGAGAAACGAAGAGAGTGGATGATGAGAGACAAGAAAAGACAGAAACGAGGGATTTATTGCATGTTGGTCCTTAAACCATTTAATGGACTTTAATCATGTATTAGGCTGTAACAAAAGTAACTTATATGGGCTTTAGGAATTAATAGGAGGGAGTGAGGGTAAGAGTTTTCCTATTCAACCCAATATGTATCGTGTTCAAAATCATCTCTCATTTTATTTGTGTAAATTAAAGAAGTATTATTACTTGTATTAAAAAAAATTGGGAGCTTTGAACCGTGCCACAGTGAGTTGAAGAAAGGGCCTTAACAACAAGTACACTGACATTCATAAGTATAGTACGTCAATTGGTAATGTATGTCAATTTGTAAATTTAACAACGTACCTCTCCTCGAATTCTCAGACTTTTGTTGTTGAGCACATCGACATGCTTCGCCTGCGCATGTAAGAAAAGATATGGACAAAATGTAAATTTAACAAACCTGGGTAGATGAAGAGAAGAAATTCAATTTAGGAAAACCGGAAAAAAAACAAAGGAAGATGAGTATATGGTAATAAGATATATACATTAATTCTGCCATACAAACACCACATAGGCATGATTTTTCACACAGACAACGCAACAATTATCTAAAACGAAAAGTAGCACAACTTCTCTAAAATGATAGGCAAGTTTTGGCGTACTTTGAGACAATTGCATAGACACCCTTAACTTACATCAGAACACCAACTCGTCCCTTCAAGCTTTGCACTCTTATTGTCTGATGACAAAGAGAAGTTAGATGGTTCGCCCTACACGTCCCCCCCCCCCCCCCCCGGGCTTCTTTTTCGTAGATGGTTCGTGTTCCTCTTTTGCTTTCAACTATACCCCACAATTAAAAAGGAATTGAATTTTTTACTCAAACCCTAAAACATGATATTTCGATCAACACACCCAATGTATAAAATTAAAAGTAATAAGAAAGATTGATACAAAGCAGCTATGGAAAGAACAAAGAGAGCTGAGAATTGTTACCCATGTTGCAGGTCAAAAAAAGGAATCATACTTTCGTTATGATTCTCTTTGCTTCTTCAGACCTTGCTTTCTATACTTCCTTCGACCTCTCTCAGAAACTGGGGTATAGTTTCTAGGGATGGTTCGGTATGGGATCCCAAACCGAAAATGGGATCCCAAATTCCAAACCAAAAATTTTCAACAGGCGGATGAAGAACAACTGCTCACCTTCCCCTTTTGGTTTGATGTTGCAGGGAACTCTTTCGGATCAGAGTGCATTGATTCTAGCACTACGCCGATACACACAATCCCTGCTTGCTTTTTATATCATATTTACCCATCAAACTCAAACAAAAATATATTTATAAAAACAAATCACAGAGGATTTTGCAGGCTTACACGGAGAGAAGAGGAGAAGGAGGATCAGAGAAAAGGAGTGTGCGGTCTGTATATACAGGAGGTGAAATACAGAGCAAATCACACTAGGGTTTTGTGGCCCATGTTTGATTTACCAAAATATCCCTTCAAATCTATTCTGTGGGCTTTCATTTTCAGTTACCCTAAGTCCAGCCCAGTTGTCCCAATGCATTCTTATTGTTTATTCCACAAGGACCACTACTTGGATACGTTCTTATATGTAAAGAAGTCATTTCTTGTTATATAAGATATACGACATCATTTCACAGCACAAACGTCACAATTGAAATTGATTGTTTTCTTTATCATCCTCTTAAGGTTGTTTACGATATGAAGATCATTATATATGGTAACAAATAACATCATCATGATGAAATGTCAATTTGTTTAATTTATGTAAGGAATTAAGCAATGTCTGTCGAGAAAGATCAATACCTCTTATCTTGAAATGATATTTTTTTTAAGGAAATTCATAGCTTTTTATCAAAACTTTGTGTGCAGAAAACTTGCATCTTTGTGTTTTAGTAAGTTATACAAGTTCAATTGCAAATGGGGTTTTATCGCTGTAATAGAAAATAATCATGTCCATGCACTCTAGTAATTTGAGAGTTGTATAAGGTTAATTATACTTCCACTCTGGCAATTTGGGGCCGTAACGATTTGGTTTATTCTTTATATCCCGCTTAATCATCTAGTTAACTGTTTTTTTTTTTTTTATCTCACTCCGTGAACTCATTGGTGGCATGTGAATTCAAGATGGACCTAAATACGATCAGTATTCTTGCTTATTAAGCCATACACATGCAATGGCAAGATCTCGAGCGGACGTAGACGTCGGAGAAGAGCTTCTCCAATCCCTGCGCCGTCGAAAGTTGTTCGACATAGAAAGATAACCAGGTTGATGGCAAGCGGCGCTGTTGTTTGGGCGAAGTCTTCAGAGGCCGATCTTAAAGCAGTAGGGCTAGAATGGACTCAGAGGAGTAGTTTGAAAACAGCCTTACCAAGCACTGATTTCGATTTTTTTTGTTCTCGGAGTCTACAAACTTGGATTCAAGAGCAAACTACGACAATACACAACGTCAATGCATGACCGATCTGGTAAATAGTAGAAGATCCAAAATAAAGCTGTAATGTTGGCAGACGAAGACATGTTTTACTTGAAAAACAAGAAGTTTCTACCAAAAAAATTAGTAACTGATTGCACAGCCATACCCCATTTGATCGAAGAGAGAAGAGAAAACGAAGGATATGGTAATAAGAAAAGATATGGACAAAATGTAAATTTAACAAACCTGGGTAGATGAAGAGAAGAAATTCAATTTAGGAAAACCGGCAAAAAGACAAAGAAAGATGAGTATATGGTAATAAGATATATACATTAATTCTGCCATACAAACACCAAATAGGCATGATTTTTCACACAGACAACGCAACAATTATCTAAAACGAAAAGTAGCACAACTTCTCTAAAATGATAGGCAAGTTTTGGCGTACTTTGAGACAATTGCATAGACACCCTCAACTTACATCAGAACACCAACTCGTCCCTTCAAGCTTTGCACGCTTATTGTCTGATGACAAAGAGAAGTTAGATGGTTCGCCCTACACGTCCCCCCCCCCCCCCCCGGGGCTTCTTTTTCGTAGATGGTTCGTGTTCCTCTTTTGCTTTGAACTATACCCCACAATTAACTAACAAGGAATTGAATTTTTTACTCAAACCCTAAAACATGATATTTCAATCAACACACCCAATGTATAAAATTAAAAATAATAAGAAAGATTGATACAAAGCAGCTATGGAAAGAACAAAGAGAGCTGAGAATTGTTACCCATGTTGTAGGTCAACAAAAGGAATCATACTTTCGTTATGATTCTCTTTGCTTCTTCAGGCCTCACTTTCTATACTTTCTTCGACCTCTCTCAGAAATTGGGGTATAATTTCTAGGGATGGTTCGGTATGGGATCCCAAACCGAAAATGGGATCTCAAATTCCAAACCAAAAATTTTCGGGATGGGAATTTGAAGACTAATTTTGAACCGAAATTTCGGTATTCACAATTTTTGAGATTCCTAAAATATTTTCAGTATTTCGAGATGGATCTGAATTGCGTTTTGGGCTTTTGGGCATAAATTTGAGATTTTTGGGTTGGGGATAAAAATTGGGCCTTTGGATTAAAATTTTATTGCCAAGTTTCATATCAATTGAAATTTAGGCTTTTTACCTTTACCAATTTGAAATTTCTTACCAATTGAAATACCAAATCATTCTTACCAAGTCAAATTGACATTCCAAAGTTCCATACTACTTCATTTCGTACTTCTATTTATAATATAGTCTACTCTCAAATTACTTAAATTCAACATGCATGCAACCATAATAAATATACATATATATTTTCAGTTCAGTTCAAGATTCCCGAACCATTGAATATGTAATCCCGATTCTTGTACCGAAAGGTTCGAGATTGGTTTGGTATAGATTCCAAAAAATTTAGTATTATTGGTTTGGGAAATTTTCAGTATGGGATTGGGATTTTTTTGATTTGGTTTGGGATTTTTGGGAAAATTTCCAACCCTAAATTAGTTTCTCTCCTTGTTCCCCCTTCTTCTTCCTCTTTTTCGCTTTTCTTCTTTTCCCCGTTCTCTCCTCCTCCTTATTCCGGTTCCTCTTCCCTTTTTTTCAACCCAGTCCACCCCCTTCTAAACCATTTTCCCTTTTCTTTTTATTTTATTTATTTATTATTATTATTATTTCATAAAAAAGCACATTGGTAAATCTTCCAACTATGAAAATTAAAATTAAACATTAAACACTTTGATCAACAATTCACTTTCCAAGTTTTAGCATTAAAATGTTATATAGCGAATTAAATAATAAAACTTACATACAAGGATTCACATTGCGCCTCACGAGCTTAAAGGTCAACTGAAGTCACCCCTTCCAGGCCTTTCATTTTACACCTTCGAAATTAAAATAAGAAATTTTCCAGGACAGGTTGTAACAAAATGCCTTCACAGGGGCCAAGGAGGGAATGCATTTTGCATGAACGCTTGTTTCGTGGTTGGTTGGGTGGCTGCTTGTCGGGACTCATTTGGAAAGCAATAATTCAGTTCGTCATCGGTTCAATTTTAGGGTCGCTGGTCGGACCGGCTAGTTCGGCATGAATCGGCTTCGGTCCGATGACTATGGTCGGTTTGCTTGAACAGGTCTGGGTGCAACTCTAGCACGTGGGCGTTGGAGCAAGTATAGCCTGCTGGACCGCATGTTGGGCATACGCAAAAGGTTGGGCTGGTTGGGCCTTTATCTGCTGGGCTTGTGTTGCAGCTAGAGGCGTTGTGGCCTGGGTTGTGTTGTTGCCGTCTTGCTTACTGGACGCGGTTGCAATGGCAGGGGGTGGTGGCAGTCATCGTCGCTTTGTGGTACACCGCGTGGGTGAAAACCCAAGCACGTAGGGAGTGTCGTTCATCACGGAATTTTCTACCATTGTATCCTTTCTCTAATGACTAATAAAAGAACATTAAAAAAAATTAGTGACTAGAAGCGTACGAGAAATTCAACGTAACAGAAAATTCCAAAAGGAATTGCAAGAGCGTTTTCAAGAATTAAAGCGGGCTCTTAATGAAAACACCAATTTATGGTTGCAAACATCTGTCGTCTTCAGTTTTGATGAATTTGTACCTATAAAACAAAGGGGTTTTTAGATCTAAATTCAAAAACATAGAGTGTTTTTAGGAGTGACTTCAGTTATCTAATTATATGTTTTTATTTCTTTTATACTCCTTTTATATTTTCTAAAAATATTAAAAATAATTAAAATCTTTTAATATTATGCATTTTTCAACTCCAAAATATCTAATTAATATCTTATAAACAAAAAAAATAATAATATACTAACATAAATCTATCTGCAAAACATTCTACCCTAACTCAAGTTGCAAATATATGAATGTATATTATACCTATAAGTGAGATATGAAACCTAACTAAAAGGTAGAAGAAAACATAATATACCTACAAGCAAGACACATTAATCTGTGACAGGTTGACTATGAAAAAGAATCTGTCATATAGGTAGATAAATACAATTAACCTGTGATATAGGTTGATTATAAAAATTAAAAAAAAAACTATAAATGGGTTAAAGCAGGAGGAAGAACAAGAAATAACAAAAAAATATATAAAAAGAAATAATCAAAGAGATCATTAGGAAGAAATTTGATTTTTACAATAAGTTTTTGCTTTTAAGAGATAATTATTGATAATAAAATAATTAAATTTAAAGAATTGGACTTATTTTAATAAATTGAACCATTCCTACTATTGGCTCAAAAAATTGGAGTTATATCAAGTTTCCCCTAAAACAAATAAACACCCTTGATCAAAGGCCAGAGCCACACGTGGCCACAAGGTGATTTTTTTTTTTGGGGGGGAGGGGGAGGAAGGTTGGCCAAAAGATCTCCGATGTCTAAGTTAATTTATCTAAAAAGAACGAAAATTTGATGAGGGCATTTTCATCATTTACGAATAAAAATTCCTTAATATCGAGTATTTTCGAACACATATTTTAAGAATTAATTTATAAAATTAATTGAATTTAAAAGGAGAGAAGGGCACGTAGGTTGAGATTTGAACTTTCTTCCTTCGATGGCATGCATGTTCCCATTAAAAAAAGGTCAGAAGACAGGAGAGCTATCATTCCTTAGTAATGGGAAGCAAAGGGAGCGTCAGACATGGCGCCCCAAACTGAAGCAAATTTGGGTAAGCTTGACCTTGAGTATGCTGCAAGAAAATACTTACTACAAAATAGATATAAAATAAAACACCTGCAAAAGAAGACTGACATGAAATAATGAAAAGGGTTCCACATACTCTACTCCGGTGACTAGAAGTACATTTCTTTTCTTTTCGAATCAGTGTTAGAGTGGAATATTGCATGTAAATTTTACGTGTGTCTAATGACTCTTTAAGCCACTGTGTCATTGCAGTGTTTCATTCCGTATTGATACTGTTACTAATCCTATGAGTTAGAC